ACATATTCCAGTTTTGACATCTATTCATTTATTTATCGATGCTATTTATTTTCAACATCCGACAGCTGACCTTTCAGACTATGGCTATTGAACAGGCATGACCCCACCTCAAGTTTCGATTTAATGATTGATTATTGTTTGCAAATATTCCATATTCATATATTCAATACGAGAACAAATTAAAAATAAATACAATAGGTGGGTTCTGCAAACATTTTGCCTGACAACACTGAGGCCAATTACCTCAACAAGTTAGACATTCCAGTATATCATAACAGACGGCCCTTTTTCCCAAGTTTTATTGCCGGACCCATGGGAGAATTCAAGAAATGACCACATTTCTACACCCACGACAACCGTTGAAGTTCCATTTGCTATAAATACGTATATACCTTCAATAACATAAATCAAGTACTCCTTTGTGTACATACCTTTGACTTGTACAGCCAGTAGGCCAGATACTCTATCCTGAACCATTTGTGCACATACCTTTGACTTATACAGCCAATGGGCTAGATACTTTATATCCCGAACCCCTTGTGTACATTCCTTTGACTTGTACAGCCAGTGGGCCAGATACTCTATCCGGAACCCCTTGTGTACATACCTTTGACTTGTACAGCCAGTGGGCCAGATACTCTATCCTGAACCCTTTGTGTACATACCATTGACTTGTACAGCCAGTGGGCCAGATACTCTATCCTGAACCCTTTGTGTACATACCTTTGACTTGTACAGCCAGTGGGCCAGATACTCTATCGGGTCTCTAGGTCTGCTTTCTATAATTTCGGCTAAAGCCCATGATAAAGGTTCGCCAAGGTGTTGCCTTACATATTCTCCGTAATGTACATCCCCTTTAAATATAACGTATAGAAATATTTAAATGTTATGATAACATTTACGCATTATAAATCACCCTAGAATATAATGGATTATGAAGGAATGCTTACAAAAAGAATAGCAAAATTCGCTTGTCGCTTAGAAAATACAGATGAAGAAATTTAAAAATTAATAAAAAGAAAACAAAGTAACTGAAAAAGAATATTTCTGCGTAACCGACCACAACATGTAAGCTGGGACCAATAGATTATCTATACTGCATTAGTCCCATATTAAGTTCATTTTGGTCTGCTTATTCTACTGTCACATTGAATATGAGAATAAATACCTCTACTCCTTTCTTCCATGTGGTGTTACAACATTCCCCATATTTCTTTAACAGAAACCGTACATGAGCAGGTTCGTTGTCAATATAAATAAAAAATTGTACACTTCCGGTGTTGTAACCTTTAATCTTTTAAAAGTGGTAAGTGGCGGTTCGATTTAAAAATAATCCCGTCAGAACATGTCACAGAAAGCCTGATAGATATGTCTACTTCTAAAAAGGGAATCTGTTTAGACCCGCTACATTTTGTCACAGGCGCTTGGGGGATGGACTCCCCTTTTTTTAAGCATTTTAAAAATTTAAAAATGTATTCACAGTACTGTAAAAATTGTTAATTTTTCATGTAAAATATTTTAAGAATAGAGGGGCATAGGTCATATAATACTGTCATTTTTCTTAAATCGTAAAGATAATTGCAAGAATACGTCAAAAATGGGAAAATAAGTAAAAATACTAAAGAAATTAAGAAATTTTACATTAAATGAATTTTTGAAAGGGGCTTTCCCTAAGCGCCTGTGCAATCTGTATCTGCCTTGCCAAAATCAGGAGCATGTAATTCAGTGGTTGTCGTTGGTTGCTGTCTCTAGTTTTTCCCATACTTTGTTTTATCATAATCAGGCCGTTACTTTGATCGTTTGAATTGTTTTACATTTTGTCATATTGGAGCTTATTATAGATTGCTATACGGTATGAGTTTTGCTCATTGTTGAAGGCCGTACATTGACCTATATAGTTGCTCACATCCACGTCATTTGTTCTCTTAGATTGTTGTCTCATTGACAATCATACCACATATCCATTATCTTATACTGGTTATATCAGGGCTTGTACCATCATGCATATGTAATTTCCAGTGCAACTTACACATGTCCATTTTATTAGAATTTCTCATTTTTCCGTCCTGAAAAATCACATGACTGCCAGAAGTTTTCCTTTATAGTCGGTTTTTAAATGTTTTGTGCTTGAAACCACATGGCAAACCCTTTTTAAGGTTTATGGATTTGAAAATTAGGAGGCAAAGCTTCTACTAAAATATATTTTACACTGACAGAACTATATGCATGGCGCCAAATTAATACATAGGTTCCCACTGAATCTTTAGGGAAATCATATTTTTGTCCCCTCTGAAACAACACGGCAGTTATTATCTTATTTCGTTCACATCTGAAAAACTCACTTAATGCAATAGGCAATTAATTAAATCTTCAGATTATTTTTATGTTACTCTTATCGAATTTTGTAGGTGCCATTATAGGGAGACTCGATACAAATTCCTCATCATGGTGACATATACATTGTGGCTATTGTTCCACATAAACCCCCGTTGACGGTTCAATCCTTTAACAATTACATTTTCTATTAAACCTCTTAAACTACAAAACAAAACCAAACTAGGTGATCTGTGAGAGGTCCTTTGTGAAAAAGTCATCACGTTTCGTTCTGGTCATGTGATAATGTAGGATGTAAGTAGCATTCCTTGATTCTGATTGTCAATGTTCATTTCTTATTTAAAATTGAATAACCAAATCAATTCAGACTTTAAGCGCCTATTATTTAGGTATAATAATAAGCCGAAAGCGGGTTTGGTAAGCGCTCGACTCCGTCCGTTATTCCGTCCAAAAAACCTTGAGTTGAAACTTTCGTCAAACTTTTCTTGGTTTCTTTGAAATGGAATGAGTTTATATTTGATCTGCAGCTTGATACGGGTGTTGTACCGTGTGGGCATTTTTTTTTTTTACATCTGCTGTGCAAGCGTCTTCCTGTGTGCCGATATATTGTATTTGCAAGACATAACATAGCTCTACTTCCGGTACCATTTTGGTTTTGGGTAGGCATGACATTCTTATTTACTCACTTTTACACAATCAATTTCGACCACATCTATCAAAATTGCAGCTTTGAACATTCTTTCGGCAAATTATAATTTGTATACACGTTCAGATACGAAATGATATTGTTAGAGCCTCAAATTACAGACATAAAGCTGTGATATTGTGCATTTTAGTAAATATAAGATGACCTTTTGATGTATCGATTTATTGATAGCAGTCCAGCAGCAAATATAATAATACTTGAACAGAAAATATAAAAAATATTGGAAATTTACAACAGTTCAAATCAACCAACAATTGCATATTCTGTTAATGAGGTAAGGAAACAGCCCGTTTTATACTAGACAGACACGAGGAGTCACATGTTTGCCGTGATAGCTCATAAGGTAACAGACCACAGGCTTGAAGACCTGTTGTCCAAAATCGGGTTCATTTTTCTATGACTCCAAGCCAACCAGTTGCTTTTACAGTAAAAAACATTTCAGAGAAGCAGCAAATACCAGTTTTGAAGGGTTTGGTTTGACAAAGACGGTGAAAAAACCCATGACAATGATTATTCCACCCAATGCGAGCATGATACTACTGAGGCATTTAGGAATACTGTTTGAAGATGGCCCTGTTGTTATATAACTCAAGGGAAATTGGTCCCATCGTTCCATTCAATAGAAAATATAATAGCCTCTTAAATCAAACAAATATATACAATTTATTACTATACTGAAATTTTATAACACTGTATACCGTTTTAAGGAAATCTGTGGATAATGCCAACACTATAAGCACAAGATACGCATATTGCTAGACCATCACTAGAAAAGATGGTATAAAAAAGTGAACAACAATAACTGATAGCAGAACTCTGCAAGAAAGATAACTTTCATCAGCCTAGACATGAATGTCCAAAGAAATGATTTTTATTGATTGTAAGGTATACTACATTTAATACAAGGGTCCAAATCAATTTAAAATCAGACATTTAATACTTGTATTTGATATTCCTGTTAAGTTAAATTGGCAAAATAAATAGGCAGACATCCAACCACTAGAATATAACTCATACAAAGGCTCTTTACAAAACTACTAGATCCATCCCTAAACTATACTACAGTTAGATCAACTGTAACTGATTGAGTAATAAATGACAAACTTCAAATGCATTCTCTGTTACAGGTGGAAACCTTTGAATGAATTGGCTGTAACGAATATTAACCTTTGAACGAATTGGCCATAACAGACGACAAACTAAATGAATTGGCCATAAAAGATGGCAACCTTCTAATGTATTGGCCATAAAAGATGGCAACCTTTGAATGAATTGGCCATAAAAGATATCAAATTTTAAACGGATTGGCCCTTACAGGTACCAACCAATGAATGAAATGTCTATAAAGATGGTAACTTTGAATGAATTGGCCATAAAAGATATCAAATTCTAAACGGATTGGCCATAAAAGATGGCAACATATGAATGCATTGGTTGTAAAATATGGCAACCTTTGCATGAATTGGTAGTAATAGATGACAATCTTTGAATGAATTGGACATACATAATGGCAACCATTGAATGAATAGGATATAAATGTGGCCAATCTTTGAATGGATTGGTTGTTAGTAAGGGAACTCTTGATTTACTTGCTGTTGCTGATGACGACCTTTGAATGAATTGGTTGATACAGATAGCAACCTTAAAACAAATTGTGTTACTGATGGCAACCTTTGGATCCTTTGAATGAACTGGCTGTAAATTATGGCAACCTTTCAATGAATTGGTTCTTTGAACAAATTGGCTGTACCAGAGGGCAACCTTTGAATGGATTTGTTTATCAGAGGTCAACATTTAAATGGATTTGTTGCAACAGATGGCAACTTTTGAATGGATTTGCTGTAACAGATGGCAACTTTTGATGGATTATTGTAACAGATGGCAACTTTTGATGGATTGTTGTAACATATAGTTTTTAATGAATTGGCAGTAACTGATGGCAACATTTTAAGAATACAGGTAACTAAACCAATCATTTAATCATATAACAATTAATTAATATACACAATATTTGCCAAGAATATTAACAATACAAATAAAGCAACAAACAAACCATAAATATAAACAACTTCTGGCAGAAATAACAGTTATAGAGCTGCACACAAATAACATGGTTTCTACATATACATTTATAGATATAAATCAGAAATAGAATGAATATTGTTTACATAAGACTTAAAAATTAGACCACGTTTATATATTATTATATGTTAAAAAGTGAGGGTTAGGGCAAATTTAATTGATATAACAAAATGACATAGTAGTACTATTGAGAGTGAACTCACAATGAATATATTTGACAGTCAAACTTGTATAATATTATTCTGTAATTATGTGTGTACTATCTCATTTGAACTGTCAAGGTACATAATTGCACAAATAGACGAACATGTTATAAATGTCAATGAGCAACAAGAGGCTGTATTGCTCACCTAGAAGCCATAATTAACTTTTTACCAGCAACAAATTCAAAGGAGAGATACATTTTGGGGTTTATTTGGCCCTGTATATCTACTAAATAATATAAAAAATTGTATGACATCGTTATAATTCACAATTTTTCTTAAACTTCAGGATAAAACCTTTCAGATAATGTACATATTAAAATTGAGGTGATGATTTACAATTTACCTTAGGGATCATAGATTTATTCTTACGAGGAAGCTCCGAGCATGCTCGGAGGATGCTCAGAGCTTTTTCAGTAGGCTCTTCTCTGCAGTTTATGTGAAAATAATTATCATGATCCATTAAGATGTCAATCAAATCTACACCACTTCTATAATAAAGAAAGTTGAGCATTATAGAGGAAGCTCAATTAACACCTGTGTAAACATCTAATCTATTCAAATACATTTTGCCTGAAATTTTACAAAACTATAGAATAGATTAGAAATTCTTCAACAGCACTGTGTAATGCTTGGAAAGAAATCTCATGTCTCCACAAAAAGTGAAAGTCATTTAACAAAAAATATACAATTATTATATTTTTAAAATAATCATTTCTTTTTTTATAATAAAAAAAATTCTCAAATTTTATAATTAGATGATATGATTTAAATATAGTTTATATTATATAATATGCTACATAAAAGTTATCAAGACACAAACAACAGTCAGGGGGCGATACTAAACAAGTTATTTTTTTTAGTTACTTATATTAATAGGTATTTTTTGTTTTTTTAAATTATTTGATATAATCTCAATTGTTATTTTAAATGTCAAAAGTGGACTAAATGTAGTTTTTAAGAATTTTTATATCATTTCATTAAGTAAAATTAAGTATTTATCCAACTTGAGATGAGTATAGAGAGATTACTTTAAAAATAATGACAAAAATATTACTTTTATAAATTATTTTATACATCTTCGAAAAACTAAGCATACTTACAATTATTTAAGGAACATATGTAATTGTTTTTGATAAATATTTCAAATTATAAATAACTTCAAGTCTTAATTAAATCACAAGGTTCCATCCATTTATATTTGTTCATCTCTAAGGTTTTGAAGGAAAATGTTATTTTAATAGCCCCAAGAGACCAATATATGACCAAGAAGTATGGCATCAGAAAGGCAATTAGTGTTTCAGGAGGATTTAAATAGTTTTATACTGCATGGGGAAAATAACCGGATGTGAAAATTTGTTAAAGCTTGTAAAACCTGTATGAATGGACACCTATAGAAATAATATTAACAGAAGTTACTTATTCATGATATATAAGTAATATTTGAAACAACCTTGTTTTCAATATAACTTGTATAGGTTATTTTGAAAATTACTAGTTTAAGTAATGCCCTTAACTAAACAATGGTATTTTTTTTTTTAAATAGCAAAGTTAGTTTTTTTATATAAAATATTTTTGCAATTTTAGGGGACATGGCTACTAAAGCTTGTAAACAGAGAAAAAAAAGGGGGATAGAATTTGGTTGGTTAATTCTGGTGATGTCTTCTTTCTTATATGCACTGAAAAATTATGTTGTTTTTTTACTATAGTACAGGACAAGAAAAAACTTGACTCATGTCAAGTATTTCTTTTTAAAACATAGATAAATTCTGCACATATTTTTGGATAAATACCAATTAAACAAAGACTGATAGGGGGAAACAATTTTATATTAGATTTTCATTCAAGTACAGGTCAGGATAAAACTTCACTTATATAATTATGCCAAGTATTTCTTTATTTAAAATAAAACCAAATCTGCACAATTATAAAAAAAAATGACAATTAAAGTGAGACGTACTAGAGGGAAAACAATGGTGGTATTACCTCCTCAACTTTTCTTAGAGTAGCCATAATTTGTTTAATAAAAAACTAACTTTGCTATTTTATAAAAAAAAAAAATATCATTGTTTTAATAGTTAGGGGCATTACTTAAACAAGTAATTTTCAAAATTACTTATACAAGTTACATTGAAAACAAGGTTGTTTCAAATATTACTTGTATATCATGAATAAGTAACTTCTGTTAATAGCTTTAATAATATTTCTATAGGTGTCCATTCATACAGGTTTTACAAGCTTTACCAAATTTTCACATCTGGTTATTTTCCCCATGCAGTATAAAACTATTTAAATCCTCCTGAAACACTAATTGCCTTTCTGATGCCACACTTCTTGGTCATAGATTGGTCTCTTGGGGCTATTAAAATAACATTTTCCTTTAAAATCTTAGAGATGAACAAATATAAATGGATGGAACTTTGTGATTTAATTAAGACTTGAAGTTATTTATAATTTGAAATCTTTATCAAAAACAATTACATATGTTCCTTAAATAATTGTAAGTATGCTTAGTTTTTCGAAGATGTATAAAATAATTTATAAAAGTAATATTTTTGTCATTATTTTTAAAGTAATCTCTCTATACTCATCTCATGTTGGATAAATACTTAATTTTACTTAATGAAATGATGAAAAAATTCTTAAAAACTTCATTTAGTCCACTTTTGACATTTAAAATAACTATTGAGTTTATATCAAATAATTTAAAAAAACAAAAAATACCTATTAATATATATTAAGTAACTAAAAAAAATATCTTGTTTAGTATCGTCCCCTGACTGTTGTTTGTGTCTTGATAACTTTTATGTAGCATATTATATAATATAAACTATATTTAAATCATATCATCTAATTATAAGATTTGAGAATTTTTTTTATTATAAAAAAAGAAATGATTAATAAATATAATAATTGTATATTTTTTGTTAAATGACTTTCACTTTTTTGTGGAGACTTGAGATTTCTTTCCAAGCATTACACAGTACTGTTGAAGAATTTCTTATCTTTTCTATAATTTGTAAATGTCATGCAAAATGTATTTGAATAGATCAGTTGTTTACACAGGTGTTAATTGAGCTTCCTCTATAATGCTCAACTTTCCTTATTATAGAAGTGGTGTAGATTTGATTGACATCTTAATGGATCATGATAATTATTTTCACATAAACTGCAGAAAAGAGCCTACTGAAAAAGCTCTGAGCATCCTCCGAGCATGCTCGGAGCTTCCTCGTAAGAATAAATCTATGATCCCTTAACCTGAATAATTCAGTCGTTATATTCCACTGCTCTACGATGGCTACATTAACGCCTGAAGGCCTTGTCAATAAAAAATCGTCAAATAATCATTCGGAATTAGCTCGGGATTTACCTATCTCGATAACATTGAGCTATTAGCTGATTGGCTCTCTCACCCAGAGGGCACCAATCAAAATCCTCGATTCGTGACACGTTTTTATTGTATTAAGAATTCAGGCCCTCGCAAGTGGGAGAGTCAATCACGGGGTGGGACTGAATTATTCGGGTTACAATTTACCTGTGAAATCATAATGAAGTTTGTGCAAAATAAGGTAAATTTTAGAAGAGTTCTTTTTTTGCCAGTAAATAGATACGAACAGAATACACTTCCTTCAGAAAATATCTTTTAAGGAGAGGATATATTATTTCTCAACATGTTTAAGGAAAACTGAAGATTGTTGGTAATTTATCCATGAATCTGAATTTATTATTATTTCAATGTAAAACTGTCATTTGGAGACGGTATAACTCATCAAAAGTTAATTATTTCAAATATTTTAAAGAACATAGATTCAACTTTTAATTTTGCAAATTGAAAACATTTGAAAAATAATTTTTTGTTGCTTTTAAAAAGTAAATAATTGCTTATAGGTGAGCAATAAGAACTATAATAACATGCACAAATTTAATGCAATGTTTTATTCTACACTTACACCCATTCGAATGTATTTTAAAACATCAAAACATAATACAACTGAAAATATAAAATAAATATTGTACTTTTTCAAAAATAATTAAGATCGTCAAAAAATACTGCTGTCTAATGATTTGCCCAAGATTAGAACATGTACATCTATAGCAAAAATCCTGACATTTTAAGGATAAGTCTGAGAGACAACAACAATATTTCATTTGATTAGATCTTTGGTTAGTCATCAAAATTTTGAGTATGATTATTGTAATTAGACACAGAAATAAACCAATCAAAATACTGGATTTGGTGTTTTAAACACAAATGTTGTACTCCGAGTACTGAGTTAAGCTTTATGACCAAAAGGCTTTACCTCTAAACAGTTCTACTGGATTTCCTATTCCTTTTTTCATTTTCCTTATAAAATCACAAAAGATAAACCTAACAAAAATTTAAACTAACCAAGTGTGTATTTATCAATTAAATACTCAAAAAATATATTAATTAGGGTTGAGCAATCAAAAACATGTTAATGAATTTGTCCCAATTTTAGAACCTCTTTAGTTGTTGTCTTATTACCAAGTTTGATTCTTTCAATAATGAGAATCTTGATTTTAAATCTTATCGCGTCTCTGTTAAATTTCTTCTTCACTTGTCTACACCCATGGCAATTCAAAGATTGACATATGATATAGATACTTCAGTTAATTGTTGAATACAGTTGACCTTTAAAATAATTTTTGTTTAATTGTGTTGCTCAGTTGCTGTCTTTATCCCCTTTATTCATATATTCATCCATATGCAATTTGTACCCTCTTTGGTAATAGCATTTTACAAGTTTTCTTTCTTGTTTTTAGCAAGTAAATGTATAGATATTTTTTGTTCAATCTTTGAATGGTGTAGATATTTTATCTCTGTTGTGCAATTTCATTTAGCCACTTAAATATGCAGTACTTCTATAAAAACTGAATTTAAAAACTTTGTTGGTAAATACTTTGAAAAAAGAGTAGAAAAATGAACTATAATGTATGCAGTATTTTTTCCATTGTCATCAGCTCCTTATCAGAGCAAGGGTACAAGCAGGACAAAAAGACTGTTGGTAAATCTTTATTTGTATACTTAAATGGTAGATTGCACAATTTAAATTTTTTTTTAAATAACAATGAATAATCAATTCAATGTAAGCAAAACAACATTATATTAAAATTAGAAAAGCAATAGCTGAGAGGTTAAACAGCTGGAGCTGCCCGCTCAAACACTGTACAATCCCAAATCAATAACTGGTTTTCAGTCAGAAAACCCTTTGAAAAATGTAATCATCAAAGTCTACAAATTCTTAAGCCAGTCATTACACAAATGATTGTGTAAACAAAAAATGCCTGAGGTATTTTAAATGCCTGTCAAATATAAGCCGTCATCTATGAACTGGCATTTCAAATCATGTTGATATTAAGTATGAAACATATACATACCAATTTGTGTTTTTTTTTCTTATTCAGAAATAATGATAAAATGTACTCTAAATCTATTTTAGTCTAAATTTGTCGAAAATCAAACACAAAAAAATCACATATTTATTCATTTTTAATAAAGATTTTTCAGCACTGTCAGACAAAATTCTGTGATTTTTCTAAATACATCAAAAATCCATACATGAGTCAATTATTTTTCCAGGTCAATTCTGTTCTAATTCTATCAAGAGTTATTTAATTATTTATCCCTTGTTGAAACCAACAAATAGCTCGGATTGAGGTGTGGTAAAATTAAGGTAAAATCACATGAAAGAGCCTATATCACTTGAACAATGTTGATTTCAATATCTTAAATTTTTTTTAAGCAGATCTAGACAAAATACAATTTCAACACTATTTGCAAAGGAATTGTTAAACACATGCATGGGTTTGGTTGTAACAACTAAATATTTTATTACTCCTCAACAAATTCTGAGAAAAACTACAAGGGGTTGTTAACCTTATGAAAAGTAATATTGCTAAGCAGCAGTTTATAAGATAGAACAGAAATTTACTCCTTTCAAAAACTTTGACTCTCAACATTTTGAAGAAACCAAAATGCAAAATCAAGCCTAGAAGTTTTGTGAAGCCTGTATAAGTAACTTTGTATTTCTGTACTTTTAGTTACCATGGCCATCTTTGTGTGCAGTTAGGAATCACAAGAAGTAAATCTGAAAGGACATCACTAATTATCATTTTTTAAATGTTTGACTGGCTGGTGCTGTACAATAGAGATTCAATATTATTATCGAAAGGTTTGGAAAACTGACAAAAACTATATAAAAATCCTGCACATAGGCTGTCTGAATGGCAAAGATCCATTACACAAGTTGAGGTTTAAAGACAGTCATAATTTTAAAAGAGTATCATTAATGGACCATTCAACAACATTTGGCCATAAGAGCCACAGTCATTTCTAAGAAGTAGTTTAAAATTGGGGTTTCATCATCTTATGTTATATATATCTGTAGCTTTGTCAGTTGGCCAAGGAACCAAATGGACAAGAACAACATAAGAGAAATACTGGAAGCACATTACACTGGTTGTTTGTACCACCAGTGTAATGTAGAGAGCATTAAATTATTCAACATTCACAGTATAACATCACAAAATATTTCAATGAAAAGTTTTGAAGTAAGTAGTTTTGAAACTGTTGAAGTTAGACATGAAAATTACTTTTTTTTCTAAACAGAGACACTTAAATACTTTAAAATGTAACTGGTGAATCTATTAAGTAGAAAAAAAACATAGGTACTAATTGATTGATTGATTGTTGTTAGCTTAATCCTGAGTGGCAAATATTTCATGTATATATAGGTAGGTAGTAAACATGTATGTTTTTTATTGTTCAATGAAATTATAATCATCATTGCTAATCAATTCTTTTAAAGAAAATTAGTGTACCGGTACAGAAACAATTTTTGTAAACAAATCTTCAGTAAATATGTAATGGACAAGAGAATCACAATATTCATACCACAATTTGAGCACAGATACATTTTACATTTGAAATATTATAAAAGAAACTGGCCATTAATACAGTTAATGTGCTACTATAAAATGTCTTGAAAACTTTTCTAAAAGCAATATACTATTTGTTATGGTTAACAAAATCCAAGCAATACAAATTTAATGATTGTAGTAAAGTGAAAATCATTGTATAATTGTGCAGAAATAAAACATAATTGATTGTTGGCCGCTTAATGTTAAACAACAGATATTCTGTGCATATTTAGTACACTGATGAAATAATAATAATAATAGTATAAAATATATCAACTACAATAATGAGAAGAAAATTGTTAATGCATTTCTAACAATAAATCTATATTTGAACAAAGCATTAACAAATAACAATTCTAACATAGGGCGTAGACCACAGGTCTTTCATTTTTAAATGAATTCTTTGAATTTTAATTCAATTTTCACAGATGCTATTTGGAAAAAGATATCACTGTATCTTGATTAACATAGAATCCACCATATCAATTCCATTTTTGAAACCCAACCTTTTTAAAATAGTTCTTTAAAGAAGGCTGTTTCACTGGACCATGTGCACAACATAGTAAGTCAGATGCATACATGTATATATAGATCTTCTTAAAGAAATACAAAGTCATGTTATATATATTTGCACTTTCACCCCAACATTTAAGAGATCACATGGACAAGAACATTTATGGCAGGTTCCTGTATAAGATACATTAAATATAATCTAAAAACATTCTGTAACCTACATTTATACTATTATGATACTAACATACTACATGTAACACAATTTAATAATGGATTTCTAATTCTTCTGAACACAGGTCAACAAATTCATAAAACCAATGTGACTGCCGTCATAAAAGTCATGATAAAGAGATTGGTTTTGATGCCAAATGTATTTTATATATCAGTCACACATCACTTGCTAACTGTACACACATAATAAATTTTCAGGTTTGGTGGCATTACAGTTGGTTATTATTGTACAGAATAAAGAACATACAACCTGTAAGAATTAATCAATACTCATTTGTCAAATAAATAAATATTAACCATACAGTGTCCAGAAGATATTAAAGCTATTGGTCAAAATACTTTGATTTCACTGGGAAAAAAAAGCTTCACTGGTACATGCATAATAAAAAAATAAAGTAGTAAAATAAAGAGATCTTTCAGAATTAGTAAAGCAAAATCAATACATTAGGTTCTGTTATTTGCTCTTGGTTTTACTGTGTCAGACTGTAAAATAGATCTGGACATCTATGTCTGTTAGTCTAGAATCAAAAATTGAAATTGAAAAAAATTCTTGCAACAATAGTCTCTTTTCAACGTAATGTCCTTCCATTTGATAATTGCACTAATTTGATAATAAATAATGCATTTGTCCTGTTACGAACTATATGAATGATATTTAAAAATATACTTAAAAGGGCATTAGCTATGAGATATACAAAAAATTAAAATATGATTTTTTTTTGTTCAATCATTAATGAAAGTGATATAGTGAAATACTAATTTGCTTTTAGCAGCCAATTTGGTTCAATTTTGCCAAAATAAGATAAATAACATCGCTGCTGAATTATTCACTTGCAAGTGAATAATTCGACCTCATTGAATCCGTATTCAAGATGGGTTACACATGTATTCAGCTATTAAAAGGAAAAGAATGTCAACATTGAAAGTGAAACAAGGATGAATCATTTGGTTGACTGATTCGATCCACAAAAAAATCATTCGAACACAGATAAAAGCGATGACAAACATACTTTTTAACCTACAATATGAAATCAAACAGACCTAGAACAATCCAATTGTACGTGGTCGCTATCAGTTTATGTTTATATTTATGTTTATAGGACCGTCTGCAGTTTTGGAGGTCATCACATTCCATGACGTCTAAAAAATGTTGATACATATTATCAAGTCCATGCATTGTTAATTGTTTATTTTAGACTTTTTGTAATTTGGATATACATTTTAGTATGTTATAAATCAAATATGAGAGTACATGAATTTGACAGCGAATACCCCTTTAAATAGTTGTTGTGAAAAATAATGACACTTTTTGTGTTTATCAGTAAAAATATGCTGGTAATTCAAATAGAAAAAAAAGAAGCTAGTTGATAGCATGGTTACATACTGAAAGTAAGACCTTAAAACCTTCAAAAATTAATCTTCTTTCTTCTTCTGTGGTAGTAGCTTATCTAGAGGCAGTACTTCTGTGAAGATAAGAGTTCCTATAAATACCAACAAGGTACCACACCAGTGTGTTGGTGTAAATGGATTCTGGAAGTACCATATAGAAAATATAAGACTAACAAATTTCCTGAGTGTAACAACTAATGTAACAGTTAACGAGGAACACTCTGTGGTCAGCACAAATACACTTCTTATACATATATATCTGGTCAAGAGTTAAGGAGAAATTAAATAATTCAATACAAATTAGTATGCTTCTTGGAATAAAACAAACCCTGTGTTAGTTCTTAAACATCTATCTTGAAGACAAGAACTTAGACCGATTGATGTTGGTTGCTTCACATTCAGTAGCAAATACTGCATTCATGTTCATGACGAGAACAATTTAACAATAAATATAATAGATAGGTCCTGTTATAAAGGCCTTCTGGGATAAAGGTTGGGAAATTTGGACTGCCACTGGAAAATGAGGGTATATTGGATAGGGACACAATAACTAATACAGAGTAGCCTTATTTTATTCATGGAATACCAATTAAACTGATGTTTTGCATTTTTTTTATTTGAGTTTCCTTCAGCATTTTAAATGTTATACATAAGGGAGAGCACACTAAAAATGGTATTAATCTATTTTCTCTTTATTTCTACTCTGTTCAAACTTTCATAGACTTGTATAATATGCAATCTTAGGTTGTCCTTTCATTTTTGCTCCTGAAGTTTTTTTCTTTTTTGTTCTTGGTTTTTTTTCATAATGTATTAGTTATCTGCCTATTTTAATCAATATAATTTATAAATAAGTACTTTTTTGCTTTATTATTGTTTTTCTTTTAAGGGAACAATAATAATATTCCCTCCCATTCAAAAGCAGTTGCAAATAAAGGTTACATCTAAAAGATTTTGAGAAATGCTTGTCCTGAAGATATATTAAAAGCTGTCTTTTTATTGATTGAGAAAAGAAGATTAGCAACATTTTAAAATTTACCGGCTTTTCTTTACTTTTGATTCTTGATTTATCGTTAAAAGTTCAATTGGGTCTGTGTAGTGTGTGGAATTAAGATATTGGTATGCCCCCACAGAGGCAGAGGGGGCATTAAGTGTAACCCTTGTCCGTCGTACGTCCTAAAATTAGTTTCCGTTCTCTAACTTAAGTTTGCCTCAACCAAATGTTATGAAACTTATACACAATGCTTATTATCATAAAACACAGATTAATAGATATAAGAAGATGTGGTATGAGTGCCAATGAGACAACTCTCCATCCAAGTCAAAATTTATAAAAGTAAACCGTTATAGGTCACAGTACGGTCTTCAACACAGAGCCTTGGCTCACACCGAACAGTAAGCTATAAAGGGCCCCAAAAAATTACTAGTGTAAAACCATTCAAACGGGAAAACCAACGGTCTAATCTATATAAAAAACGAGAAATGAGAAACACTTATGAACCACATCAACAAACGACAACTACTGAACATCAGATTCAGGTGCAAACAAATGCAGCAGGTTTAAACATTTTAATGGTACCAAACCTTCACCCTTTTTCTGAAACAATAGTGTCACATCACAACATAGAAAGACACACTATAAAATAAGTTTGAATTTGGGTGGCATCACTTTTACAGATCTCTAGTTATGTCCCTTTATTATTTATAACGTTATATGCAAGGGTGGGCATCATCTGTGTCCCATGGACACATTCTCCATTTATTTAACACTATAACTCTATAGTCTTAGTAAGAAGGTTATTGACATTACTACAGTAACGTTAACTCAGCTGCAAATGGGTAATAAACAAAGACAAAATAAGCAGATGATGTATAAAACACATTGTAATTCACACCCATCTTGTAATCAATTGGTTATTTGACCTGTTTATTTTACTGTACAACATTGGTGTAATCTTCAACCATTGTAAAAGGATACTGTGTTATAACATTGAAAATTTGGAAAAACCACAATCTTGGTAAAGTTATTCCTAAAGCTAATTCCAAAGGTGCTAGAAAAGAATAAATCATAAATTAAAATTAAAATGACATTCAAATGTATGAAATGTTCAATGGCAATAAGTAAAATAATCACTAATGAAAGATTGATTAATTGATTGGTTGCTTAATGTCCAGTGCCAAATATTTCATGCATGTTCAGGACTAGAACAAATTGACAATAAATACAATAGGTAGGTCCTGTAAGTAATAGAGGCGATCCGTTGCACTCTCTCTACACAAGACGTCTTGCCTACCTAATATCAGCTTTTGCACTCTCAACAATCATTTTATCAACATCAGAATGTTAGAGATCATAATTCCTTACAATAATAACATCACATAACATATCTATGATATAAACAAGGTCTTGTAATATAGCTGTCTTCCTAATATTTTATGCATATTTAATCCATGTTCTTACTTTTCAAATTAACATTAGAATGAGTTGTATATATGATCATACCTGAATTATTAAACTTCTGTATATGACTGTAAATATCTGTCGCTAATAACAGAAAACCTGGTAGAGGTAGAGCATGCTGTACAAAAATAAAATTGTCATCTTTTATTATATTGATGAACATGAAACATTTCTTAATTGTAAATCAAAACTTCTGAAATGTTAAAATTAAGATCAGCCATCTATACTTTTTTGAAGGTCCCATAAGAAATCTAGTTACAATAATTTGTTTACAAAGTACAGTTTTATATAGAATAAATAGTCCAAAAATGTATTTTTCAAATATGTTTGTCCCTTGAGTAGCTCATAACAGTCTGCAATATGTCACCCTAATCAAACTCATGAAGGGAAGAAGTCCTTGGCCATGCTCCTAAATATTTTGTGCATAGCAGAGAAGCACCAAAAACAAATTTCTAGATATCAGTGTGACCAAGACAGTGAACACAACTGTACTAGGTTCAAACATGCTTCAGCATGAAAAACAACAGCAGCAAACTCAAGCAAACTTAATATATAAAATGACTTCAGGTTTAAATATTAGTTAAAAGCAAGAGTTCCAAAAAACATGGTCTATTTATAAGTTTAAATTGGGCTTTTACCTTTGAACAAGACACATACCACATTTTTTATGTGCCTGTCCAAAGTCAGGTGCCTGTAGTTCAGTGGTTGTTGATGGTTCATTTTTTTGGTAAATTGTTAGTTATAAATTAGGGCATTAGTTTTCTTGTCTGAATTGTTTCACATTTTTATGTCAGGAACACTTACGGGCAAGTATACAGTATTAGTTTTTCTCATTGTTGAAGCCTGTACGGTGGTCTATAATTGCATACATCTACTTCATTTGAACTCTGGTGGATAGTTGTCTCATCAACAATCATACCACATGTTATTTTTATATTCAGTAGCTGCGGGTAATCTCAGATCAGTACTTTGTGTCCTTTGTCTTTTTGTTAGTTCTTTTGTGCTTAGATATGAACTGATGAGTCAAGCCCTGATTTTTACACTTTTTCTAATCTTGTGCTGTTACACTACTGTAAAATATTATGTAATGCTTGTCTTTGACTAAATGTAGGCCTCTTTTATAAACACTTTGAACAAATAAAGTTTACTGTATTGTGCTCTAATATTTAGTATTTGAGAGTGAGTATAAAAAATAAGAGATATTAGGCATCAGTCATGAGAAAGCAATACGACATTAAACCAAATAAAACACGTCAGAGTGATTTTTTTTCTGAAATGAAAATTACATCTGGGATTACCTCATAATGAATAATTCGATAATATCAAAAAGAAGTCATAAAAATGGTGGTGAAAAGACAAATCATGTATTATTTAAATCAAAACACTGTCTTATATATCCAACTGTTACCAGTCCCATTTAAAAATGTTGCAAAAAAAAAATAATCTGCTTACATTAAAGAACAAACTTTCTTTTGGATGTTTACCATACTGTTTGTACACCCCTTCTTGGTAGATACCCATACCAGCTGTCATAAACAAAGCAGCTGTCAATATCAATATACCTGAAACATAACATCACATGTTTACAATCACATTAGAGTAAACAAATTAAATTTCATTTGTGGATCATTTTATTCATCTTTGATTTTGATGTTTTTCTAAACGATTTTCAATGTTATCTAATGCTTAATTATACATAGATTTATAATTGTCCTAGTTAACATTGGAGGATTAAGGTGTTCCATATATGTTTTGGAGTTCATGTGAAAGAAAATTGTCTGAATGATATCCAAGACTGGGTAACAATCCTTTGTTTTTTTTCTGTAATCCTGTAATCATTATCATACACATTTTTTTATTCTCATCACATGCATTTTGATGTTCGTTTTATCAGCATACATAACATCAGATCATACATAAAAAACATTACCATGCAACAGCTGCTAGTTCAAAATGTAAGGTTTTTACAAATTTGAAAAATGTCCATAATTTCTAAAATAAAATTGTAAATGTATCATAAATGTTTTATTTTCATCAAAAACCCCTTATAAAGGTTGCAGAGTACATAGTTTTTGATATGAGAGGAAATAAAGCTGCCACTCACCAGTAAACCATATTGCCAAATCATATATCAGGTCTCCTGTTGATGTTGCTTTGTTGTCTTCCTAACAAAAAGTAAAAAGTAACATGTACAATCAATGGTTTGTCAGTTTAAAACATGAAAACAACAAAAAATAGAGACATAGTCTGTAAATTTAAAAGGGGCTGTGCTTACAAGGCACATGGACTGACAGACAAAGTAAGTAAATTTGATTATTTCCCCTTGTTGGACAGGGATTAAATTCCTTTATGCATATCCAAAGGTAGTGTTGTACAACTATGTAAATATTAATTAATAAATGTCTAGCTGTTCAGGAGGAGTTTTGCTGAAAAGGTCCATGGACAGACATGGGAATTCCAATTTTACCCATAAAACTTTGTTTGCAGGATATACAACAAAAATTAACAATACCATATCAAAGAATGCTCCCAGTTACTATAAGATGCTCCCAGTTACTATAAGCAAGCTAAAACTACTGAACCTGATGATATGAAATCATGTGTCCTACACTCCAAAGCTAGTAAACTTTGATAACAGTACATTTTTTTATTTGTACACATAAAAAAACAGGTTGAGCCTTAAAATGGAGAGACATAAAAATATTTCTTTCTGCGTCAGTCAACTAATCTTTTTTTTTTTGATAAACAGGAGAGAAAAAGAAATCTGTTTAAAAAAATTTTTGATATCAGAAGTGGGGATTTTTTATTGTCAACCAGGCAAGCGGAAACAAAATCAATGCTAATTTAGACCTCACATATTTTCACAATAATTACTGTAAAGTAAGAAAAGGAATTTTAAATTGCTAGTTGCATTCATCTGTGATAGCAAACTATTGTGATAAATCAAACAGGATCATTCCAAAGATTGTAGAAAATATATCATTACATTGGTTGCAATGAATTACCGTGATTTCCCAGTGAAATTAAATAAAATGCTCCGCAGGGCGCAGCTTGATACGACCACAGAGGTCGAACCCTGAACAGTTGGGGCAAGTATGGACACAACATTCAAGCTTGATACAGCTTTGCATTTGGATTGTGATTAAATATTTGACACAGCATAGGTTTCTGACACAGAATGAATGTGGTCTAAAAACTTAAAAATTTTAAATTGGACATTCACCTATTATGGCCCAATATCCAAAATCTAAATACATGGTTAGATTCAGCATATCAAAGAACCCCAAGAATTCAATTTTTGATGAAATCTAACAAAGTTTAATTTTGGACCCTTTTGACCTCAATGTGGACAAAGTTGATAACGGGGCCACAAAAACAAAAATCTAAATACATGGTTAGATTCAGCATATCAAAGAACCCCATATATTCAATTTTTGTTGAAATCAAACAAAGTTTAATTTTGGACCCCGATTTGGACCAACTTGAAAACTGGGCCCATAATCAAAAATCTAAATACATGTTTAGATTCAGCATATCAAAGAACCCTAAGAATTCAATTTTTGTTAAAATCAAACTAAGTTTAATTTTGGACCCTTTGGACCTTAATGTAGACCAATTTGAAAACGGAACCAAAAATTAAGAATCTAAATACATGGTTAGATTCGGCATATCAAAGAACCCCAATAATTCAATTTTTGATGAAATCAAACAAAGTTTAATTTTGGACCCTTTGGACCTCAATGTGGACCAATTTAAAAACGGGGCCCAAAATCCAAAAATTAAATACACGGTTAGATTCAGCATATTAAAGAACCCCAAGAATTCAAGAATAAAACCCCATTGAAATTGGTCAAGAAATAAGCAATTTATTCGAAGTATCTTCTTTTGCACAATACTGTGTAATTAAATATTTCTTGCTATTGCGCAATACTGTACAATTGACAATTTCTTGCTATTGTGCAATATTGTGCTATTGGATATTTCTTGCTATTGCGCAATACTGTGCAATTGAAGATTTCTTGCTATTGCGCAATACTGTGCAATTGAAGATTTCTTGCTATTGTGCAATACTGTGCAATTGAAAATTTCTTGCTATTGCACAATACTTATTATATAATAATTTACACATCCTGTTTGGTGTGTATCTCCTACCATATCATTATTATTTGCTTTTAAATATAAATCAGAAATAACCAACTTAAAATGGAAAATTTTAAAAGAAAAAAATAAGAAAAAAAAGAAAAAAAAAATCCCCCCCCCCCCAAATTTTTTGAACCCCCTTATGATTCATCACCCCCAAACTCAATCCCAGCCTTCCCTTTGTGGTATGGTACCTTGCAGTACAATTTCAGAGAGATCCATACACTTGAACACAAGTTATTGTCTGGAAACTAGAAAAATGTGTTTTTTGGCCCCTTTTTGGCCCCAAATTCCTAAACGTTTTGGGCAATTACCCCCAAACTCAAACACAGCTTTCCCTTTGTGATATGGAACCTTGTAGTACAACTTCAGAAAGATCCATACACTAACACACAAGTTATTGTCCTGAAACTAGAAAAATGCTTGTTTTTTGCCCCTTTTTGGCCCCTATTTCCTAAAATTTTGAGGCAATTACCCCCATCATCAATCCCAGCCTTCCCTTTGTGGTATGGTACCTTGCAGTACAATTTCAGAGAGATCCATACACTTGAACACAAGTTATTGTCTGGAAACTAGAAAAATGCTTATTTTTGGCCCCTTTTTGGCACCCAATTCCTTAACGTTTCGGCAATTACCCCCAAACTCAATTCCAGCTTTCTCTTTGTGATATGGAACCTTGTAGTACAATTTCAGAAAGATCCATACACTTACACACAAGTTATTGTCATGAAACTAGAAAAATGCTTGTTTTTTGCCCCTTTTTTGGCCCCTAATTCCTAAAAATTTTGAGGCAATTACCCCCAAAATCAATCCCAGCATTCCTTTTGTGATATGGAACCTTGTGGTACAATATCAGAGAGATCCATACACTAACACAGAAGTTATGTCTGGAAGTTACAAAAATGCTTATTTTTGGCCCCTTTTTGGCCCCTAATTCCTTTACTGTTGGTACCATAACCCCCAAAATCATTCCCAACCTTCCTTTTGTGGTATTGAACCTTGTGGTAAAATTTCATAGAGATCCATTTACTTAAACTAAAGTTAGAGTGCGAAAACCAATGTGTCTTCGGACGACGCCGGACGACGCTAGACGACGACGACGCCAACGTCATACCAATATACGACCACAAAAATTTTTTTGCGGTCGTATAAAAATGATAATTTCACATGTGAAATAAACTTGGTTATTTCACTCATCTGACGTCATACAACAATAGGTGTTAAGACGTTGTCAAAGTAAATTGTGAAGATATAGTTCCTTGCATTTTCTACTTTAATTACATTAAAAAGCCCATTGTCAATGTAATAAAAAGAATAACTAATCAAAGAATTCAAATATCAAAAAATATTCAACTCGTGACCGAACAACACTGATAATTAACTCATGAGCTACGCGTATTCGTGTTAATGTGTTATTCCGTCACTCGTTGAATATTTTTCTATATTTGAATTCTTCGATTAGTTATTCTATAAATATACTTACAACTTGTTGAGCTGATGCTATAGTACATAGAATGATCCCTGCTGTAATCAACACAACAGAGATATACTTCCCTGTAGTATATCTAAGTAATAGAAATATATATACAAATTAAAATCAACTGCATTAGTTCATTACCAAGTTCATATATACAATATAAGTAAATTGTCGAAAAAATTTACAATCTATTTGTACTACATTTAGAGAAGTTGTAGACAGCACAAATAGATTCTATATTTTCCAATAAAGCAAGAAACTATCCTAAAGACACTTTTGAACAACTGGGCCGTGTATACTGTTTTATCCTGAAATTTAATACTGACCCTTCAAATATGAAATATCAGTTGCCAATATTTTGTATACTATTTATTTGTACACCTGTAATTGTATAGGATATTTTTATTCTTATCCTACCATATTATATAACACTGATACTATATAAAAAGAAAATAATACAGTGACCAGAGCTCACATGTATACCCCAAGTTCCAGCTCAAAGATTGGCAAAGCTAACATTTCACAATATCAAAATCAGAAGATGTGGTATGATTGCCAATGAGACAGCTCTCCACCAGAGACCAAATGATGTAGAATGTTAGCAACTATTGGTCACTGTATGGCCTTTAACAATGAGCAAAACCCATACTAAACATCAAGTACAGATCATAAAATAAAGTTATGTTTCTTCATATGATCTTCTACCCTTGTACTAATTATCCTTGAAAGATAATAGACCATCTACCATAGACAAGTTGTGAATATGAGACATTTTAAACAGTTAAAATATAATAAAGTCAATTTCATAAGCCTTAACTGTCTCTCTTAACTGAACAGTCTTTGCTCTAACTTCTAAATGCAGCAGTGCTTAGTGGAGAACCAGAAAAAAATAATTTTATAGTCTTTGTTTTGAACCAGCCTGCAATCAAGAACACTACCAGTATATTTATGCAGAATGTCAATAATGAAACTCAAAATATTTATAAAGATTTACAAATATTCCAAATGCATTCAGCAATAAACAAAATTTAATTGTATACTTCCATTGTTGTTTCCTGAAATTCATTATATGTTGTTTTCCCAGTTGTTAGTAGGAAAGCAACTAATATTTAAACATAAGATTTGTGTCGATAAAATATCCCATACTAAAGGTGACAGATTTTTAACCAATAACTTCCAATATGTATCCTATTTCAATATTACAATACACTGGTGAACTTGTTTGTGGTTCAGACACATTTATAACCAAGCTCTATTTAATCAACTGAATCACATCAATAAAGATATTTTTACATACACAGAATGAATCCTTTAATATAATGTTTAGCACAATTTTCTATTTATACATTGTTAACATCATTTTATATTTTTTTTTCTATCATTACTAAAATGTAATGATATTGAATTTGAGATTACACAGTCAAAAGAAATAGATTAGACACTGTTTACTGTCTCTCCATATTTAGACCGTATCCATCTGTCACATTAGTGCCGTGACCAATATGAACAAGATCAAAATCAATCAATGTACTTCAACACTAAGTTAATAATCAATGTATATCAACACAAACCAAAGAAATCAACACAAACAGACTAACAAGACGTAGTGTGAATTACTATTCACTAATTTATACCCTGCTTTTGCTTGTGGATGAAATAAAATATATACACCTATCAATGTGTAAGCAGACAATAGAAAGTAGGTTAGCACACAGATTAGCTTTCCAAAATCAAACTCTGTAAAAAATACAAAAGTACAAAAACAAGTTATGATTTGTAGTTGCTAAGTTAAAAGTAACGAAAATTTCACAAACCTGCATCACTATAGAGGACACATGTATTTTCTGATAACAGGAAATAGAAAGTGACTGATCCGAAAATGCATCACATGGTATAACTAATCATAACCAATATCAAAAACTTGGGACCAAATATTAAGAAACTCTGATTTATAGTTACTGAAAAAATGTGATCCAAATGTGTTATGGACCAATGGACAAGATGTAAACCAGTAAATCCTCTGGGGAAGGGGTAAATAATGAATCAATAAATGTATATCCACATGTAATTCCAAACAATCAATCAATGTACATCCACATAAATGAAAGCATTCCGTCAAAGCATATAAACATTAAAAGAAGCAATGAATTTGGATCTCTTTTGCTTTTCAAAATTTCTATCTATCTATTATAGCTTTCAAGTTAATAGGCAATAAAATGCTTCGCTGAGCGCAGCCTGATACAATCGCAGAGGTCGAACCCTGAACAGTTGGGGCAAATTTGGACACAATATTCAAGCTTGATACTGTCTGAATTTGGATTGTGATAAAATTTTTGACATAATATAGGTTTCTGACACAAAATAAATGTGGTCAAAGATCTTATAAATTTATTGCCCAATACTGTGCAATTGAAGATTTCTTCTTGAAACTTTTCAAAAATTCGAAATTTTAAAAATTTTGAAAAAAAAATATGAATCCCTTAAAAAAATTGGGAAACCCCCCCCCCCAACTTTTTGAAACCCCCCTTGGAGCAATAACCCCAAAACTCAATCCCAGCCTTTCCTTTGTAGTATGGAACCTTGTAGTACAATTTCAGAGAGATCCATACACTTACACACAAGTGTTTGTCTGGAAACTAGAAAAATGCTTGTCTTTGGCCCTTTTTTGGCCCCTAATTCCTACATAAAAAAATTTTGCGGTCGTATGAAAATGCAAAAATAAACCTCAATAAGGGCAATAACTCCAATATTAAGGAGATGACTAACGATTTCTGCATTGTTGACTTATTTGAAGATCTTGTAGATTTGAAGGAGCAGGGCCAAATAACCTCCGTTAAAATGGGAAATACCAGTGCTAATACAACTGCATATATAAAATAATTGACTCACCATTAGTGGTTCATCTTAAACTGACCTAATCACAAACTTTAACATTGAAACAATGCAAAAGTTTCAAAGTCAAAAGATCATGACTGAGGGAAATGGAGGGCCAAATAATCTTCATGGATATAATAGTGCCAATGCTAATACAACTGCATATCTTCCACTAGTGTATCTCCTTAAACTGAACTAATCAAAAACTTAATCATGTTAACGAAGCAAAATTTTCAAAGTCAATGTGTGGGCGGGGCCAAATAATCTTCATGGAAATGACATATGCCAATGCTAATACAACTGCATCCAAATATCATAAACCTACCACTAGTAGTTACCCATAATCCCAAGCAGAAGCAATTCACCAAGGTATATCAACATACACAGAATGTATCTATCAATCAATTAAGGTATATTAACACAAACAAAAACCAATTCAGTATTAGAAGCTAATCCTAATCACTAGTATTTATGTAAAGCATTCTAGTTTTCCCAAAATATTAATCGCAACTCTTACCTTTTCTTCATTATAATCATTCCTAATGTCAAATTAGCTATCAGGGATCCCTGTAAAATTTAAAATTAAATATTGAAAAACTCTGGTTGATTAAATCTTAAAATTGATTCAATACTGTAAGAAACAAATACATAAACAAATTATATTCACTCAAACCACTTATTTTATTACCACTGATATTGACAATTAGAAGGCAAAATGGATTTATGGCATAGATTTAATACCAACAAATGAAATTGTCACTCGCAGTGAAAATAGTACATAAGCAGAAAATCACTGCACTTGCAGTGTTGTGTAAAATAGACCCTACTTTACATCGCAAATTAAATTGTTCTGTGTAAAAAGATGATATTTGAGGGATTCAAAGGCATCATTCTTTTTTATTTATTTGTTTTATAAACAATTTATGACACTTGAAGTAATCCAACTGCATTCCTCAAAACCCAAACAGAAGGAAGGACATTTTTTTAATCCATTTCTAATCATTGTTATAAAGTTTTTTAATACATTTCTAATCATTGTAATAAAGTTTTTTAATCAATTTCTAATCATTGTTATAAAGTTTTTTAATCCATTTCTAATCATTATTATAAAGTTTTTTAATCCATTTCTAATCATTGTTATAAAGTTTTTTAATCCATTTCTAATCATTGTTATAAAGTTTTTTAATCCATTTCTAATCATTGTTATAAAGTTTTGACAATGTCCTTAAACTTGAGAATAACTGCCTAATTTAGTCAAATATGTGATATTTATAAAGCAAATTACCTATAAGAAATTATATTTATTGTGATAAAAATTCAAATACAATGATTTAAAGTTGTCACAAAAATCTTTGCATAGAAACCAATTCAAATCATTACACAAAACATGCATTATTACAAAATAAAAATGGTACATTAAAAAGGGCCATATTTCCCAATGAATTAATCTGAAAAATGTATTCATCTTTTAAATTTCTTTCCACATCAATATCATTAAATGAGTAGAATATTACAATTTTTTTACAGAGAATAACAAAAATCTAAATTTATTTTCATATGCATGGATGTTTGATCCATTTAGTCTTAAACTAAAATGGATCAAGTCAAAGTTTTGGTTACTACAGGACATTTTCTATGATTAAGACACCTAAATTTTGTGAAGTGGAAAATGCTAATCTGCAGGATTTTATTAAATTTAGACAGAAAAAAAAAACATCTGCAAAAAACTTTTGTTATTCTCTACTTCAAAATAATTCTATTTTCCATAAAGATAACCTTAACATGCTGTAACGATGCTATATGGATGTCTTGTGTAATATCCTGTTATATATCATAAATTTCTTTATTCCTTTCCATGTAAAGCTAAAGCTAATACAATTCTGTTTTACTGGCCTGATTACAAGATAGAACTGGTATAGCTGAATACATGCTGCACATGATACAATATTGCAAGAGCAGATAAATGCAAGTGTAAGGCTTTAAGGAGCCTTTATCTCTCATTTAACATCTCCACAAAATATTCTTTATCATTCATAGATTTTAAGTTATGTTACAATTTTTACTGTATGTTTATCTATGTACTTTTTGCTAGCAGATTTTTCATGATTTCTGAAATTCATTCATCACTTTAGTAAAGTGATTTAGAGTGTGATATTTTGTATAGACAATTTTTCTATTGACAAAGACTGTATGTAGATCTATAGATTTCTAGATTGTTTTTGTCATTAGGTTGCTGTCTCATTGATGTATAATCCATAATGCTTTTTATTCATATCAAACAAAGATATTTATATGTTAACAGTAATCAACTTCTCATTACAGAATTATACATTAAATATCAGCTCAATGTCTGCAGAGGGGCTTACAATGGAGGAGAAAATCCATTTCATTTAATTTTCATGAAAATTTCAAAAGGATTATAGGAAAACAGAGAAGCTTATACTCACTAGCTGTACATTGAAATTTCTAACTACCAATACTGTGGATTCATTATTTTTCGTGGGTAACAATTTTTGTGGAGTCTGGATACTTGATTTTGTGGTTTTCAAGTCTATAGGAAATTTATATTTCTTTTTGCATTCGAATTTGTGTTTCATGATTATTGACAAAATTCACAAAAATAAGTACCCCTAAAATAATAATGAATCCACACGTAGTGTAAAGTGTATACTTAAATAACAGACTGCTACATGCCATTCAAATGTCTCAATAAAGTACCTCCATGTGTGATATTTTCCCTACCTAAGGGCAGCAGTACACTGCAGAAAGCCACATTTTTACCGATAAAGATTTTGTCAGAGTGGATGTCAACAGTATACACCTTTTTATAAAATATTTTCTTATTTCCATATATCTCCATTACTTATGCTTGTACATCTTTTTAACGTTGAATTCAAGATCATAAAAATATAATTCCTATTGTGTTGAATGATTGATACATAATGATTTTCAGTAGGTCTATATTCAATAGGTCTTTTCTAATCTTCAATATACTGCTTTCCAGCTTTTACTCTTAGATAATTTTTTGCACTACTGGTATATACTTGAGTTAAATATTTAAATTTTTTTTTAATATTGAAGTAAATATTTTCTCAATTAACATAACAATCGCAATTTTATATATTAAAAAAAAAATCCCTTTTCTCTTGAGTGAAAATATTATACTGCAATCATGTTTAGAAAAAAAACCCAACATTTGAATATTGAATATTACTCTAAAGTACATCCAACCAATAAAACAGTGTTAACTGATTTTCTTGCAACTGGCCATGGTCAGTACAATTTAAATTTTACATACTGCTATTCAAATATTAATTAGGTATTGAAATCAATGTTGCTCTTGTCAAACAGCTTTCATCAATGACTTTATACCTATGACGAACATCAGTTCCACAAAGGCAATTTTGGTTTCAACATCTGATATATTCTTTAAACATCTTTCCGTAAAATTAATAATCCAAGAATTAAGTATAAGTTTGGTTTTGATAAAAGGATATATAAATGGATCGATAAAAAGGATGAAAATTTAAAATTCATGACATACGTGATGTACCAAAAGGTAAAAATTTTACCACTTAATTGAATACTTACTGCTCTAAATATCATCTGTAATGGCAAAGAGACATTGAATGACAAGGAATAATTATTGGCAACTTGCACAACAAAGAAGAATGCCACCATTACTGTGTAGATGCTGAAAAATAGGAATGTTAGCATGACATACTTACTGCCCTGAATATCATCTGGAGTGGCATAGATATATTGAATGAATATGCCGCATTATTGGCCACTTGCACAAGAAAGAAAAGTGACACCATTGTTCCATATATACTGAAAAATATAAATACTTAATTTTCTAATTTTCCATAAAGTAAAATTTAATCCTTTTTGTATATGCATGCACAAATTTATTCTTCTATTCTTCAGTAATCTATGAAATTGCTTAATTTGACAACAGTCATACTTACATTTACATTGTAAGTGCATCAAAGGAAAAGGTATGATAAGGACTCTTTCATGCCATATATTTTTGAAAAGATGAATCTGTTCTGATGATATATATTGTACGGTGTAAGGTCAGTCAATGCATCGGTCAATAAAAATGGTATGTGTAATATGTAAAATTGTGTGGAAAAAAGGCATAAATTTGAAACATTGGATGGAAAACAATGGATTGTGATATCAATTTTTGATCTCATAACATTATACATGTAGATCGTAACTTCTTTTCTAAAGTTGTGTAATCTATTAAAAAAGATTCATGGTCTACTTTTTATACAGATTTTGTAAAATTTGAAAAGTCTCATTTTAGTGGAAATCTTAGTCATATTAGTGTTCTTATAATACCGTTTCCTTTCTAAAGTGTATTCTACTTTACAAACTATGCTTTTTTTTTCAGACACACCAGCATGAATGATAGAAAATACTTAAAATCTATAAATGAGTGGTTACTGTCATGAAATTAATAAGCAACACACTGTAATTTTAAGCAACCTATGTAAGTCTACATACAAAAGGATGTGACTACCATTTCCATGTTAGGAAGAACTATTACCAGTATGAATAATCAGTCAGGGGTACTACTTAAACAAGTGATTTCAGAATCACTTCCTCGAGTGATTTTGGCTGTGAAATATTAAAAATTTTCACACAGACTTTTTAAAATCACTGAAACAAGTAATTTTAGAAATTAAAATGTAATCACTTTAATAAGTGTTTATAACATTTTCTTGATATTTTTCCCACAAGCTTGATTTTTTTATTGGTAAAAAGACAACAATTCCATTGAAAAAACAACTATGTACATGCAGAAATTGTCTTTTGCTTGATAAGCCTGACACTTTTACAGTTTTTTTAAAATATGCAAAAACTGGAATAGTTTGTAGATCAGGTCATAACCTTGAAGTAGATCATTCTAACTCTAAAGAAAACCAATCAGGTTACCTAATATTGTTGATCTTTGCCTGATAGTAAGAGTAGTTAATGAATTTTTGATTACAGAAAAATTCCCAAGGGTACTTTTAAAAGCTTTAGTGCACTAACTTACTACCCAAGCGCACTGGTGAAATTAATATACAAAGAAAAAGGGATAATTGATTTATGTAGGAAAATTATAAAAAAGACTGTGAAAATATGGAAAATCAATGAAATTAGCATTTGAAGATCAAAGAAAACACTAAAATCACTTAAATAGGTGATAACTGAATTTATCAAATCACTGAAATAAGTGATGATGAAATCACTTGTTTAAGTAGCACCCCTGACTGATAATGCAACACAACAAAATTAAAATTTTGACATGTAGATGTTTTTCATTGTGTTGTTCTGTGCTAGTTCAGCTGCAGTCACATTAACTCTTACCCATAACATGCAATTTTTGGCAAAATATGGTAAAATTAAGGTGTTTGTGAGTACATTTTTTACCCCATAGCCTAGGAAAAAAAGCAAGAGGGGTAGCAAAATATAAAGGAAAATGTGTATCATTGTATGCTAGGAAAAAAGTGCAATATTGAAATAAATCATAGTTATAGTGTTTTATATGTGTATCTGATGAACCGGATCATGAGTTAATACTGATTAGTTTACAATAAAACTATGTAGTATATATCATAGCTGAAGTGTTAGCATTAAGCATTAAAGTCACCAATTTGACTAAATCTACATAGTGTAAAATAAATGTTATTATTGAATTTCAACTTTTCAATCATACCGTATAGGAATTTTGGGTTTTATCATTCCAAATCTAGCTGTGAATATTAAACCTTCTACTGCAATGAAGGCAAACTGCATAAATGTTATCAGGTTTCCACAGGTAGGAATATCACTGGAAAAAGAAAAAGTATATTGTACTGATCATACAAAACTGATGTCAGTTTTTTTATAAAGTCCCTTTTAAATACAATAACAAACTATCTGAACTCACAGTAGGGCTGTTCTAAGTCAGGAACTTTGTCAACAGTTTGTTAGTAGGTTTTTTCAATAAACGAAGTTTGTTAGATTTTTTGTGGTTTGTGTCTATCTGATGAATCAAGCCTTTTCCAACAGGTTTCTATATGTGCCTCTCCAGGAGCATGTAATTCAGTGGTTGTCATAAGTTGCTGTCATATATCATATTTTTTTTTCGTTTATTGTTCTGTACATAAATCAGGCTGTTGGTTTTCTCTTTGAATTGTTTGATATTTTTTAATAGCATACTATAGTTTTTCTCATTGTTAAAGGTCATACAGTGACATCTACATCATTTGGTCTTTTGGTGGATACAAACATCTCCTTTCATTTATAATTACAAAAGAGGCACACAATATATGCAATTTCTCACAGCAGAATATTGAAGATCCCATCAAAATGGCCTTTTAAATTTAATAACCCACAGCTAGTCACATGATAATTTTATAAACACCACAAAACAGCTCATAGGACAAATAGATAGACCAGAACCCCATATAGTACATTGTAATAAAAGCACAGATACATATAACAATTTCAAGTACATTGTTCAAGTTATATTTGTTTCAATGGTTATGAGAGGAATTATTGCATTTTTCTCACCTTGGAATTATTGTGATATTGGAAGGTCAAATCAGTTAAAAAAAACATGCTGGTATAAGCATGATGAGAACATATAATGTCAAAAAATAAACAACAGGGGCTCTTTTCACAAAAGTACTTACGATAAAAATTGATTGTTATACTGAAACGTTCATGACTTACACGTATTTTTTCTTGTTAGATTTTTTGTGAAATGAGTCACAGAATTGTACAATAAGGCCACACTATCAAAACAATTGTTCTTCATATTTTTCTGATGAAAATAGAGGCAGTGTGCAACATTTTTCAATGAATCTGAGCAAAATAAAGTTTGCTGTCTGACATTGAAAATTACAAGATAAGATCATGTGTCCTTGCTTTTCTTACAAGATTCTGGCAATGCACTGTCTTTTTTTTCTGTTGTGGAGACTTTTTGGGGATCTTCATGATCATTGGGATTTATTGTCATGATACTTATATGTATCTTCAAAAAAATTTCAATGCAAATACTTCATTGGTTGAAGTAATAATTAACACAACAGAAAAGAGTTGAGTACTGTCATGATTGTCGGATCCTTCTTGCAAATTATGGACACAGAATCAGTTTTTCAACCAGATTGCATTAGTAATAGTTTAAAATATTTTTTTATTTAGGTAGCTTAAATTAAAAAGATTGGTAATACATGTAATTTAAGTTGATGCAGTAGAAAAATCAATAATAAATAGAAAATTCAAATCATGAACCTCATCAGTAGTTGTTGTATATCATATGTCAAAGTTTTTTGTTATTTGGAGTATATGGTGTTGATTGCAGTTCTTTGTTTCTGTTTGATGTATTCACAACTTTAACAGACTGGATGATTTAGAGCTTGACATATTGTATAGATACTGGTCTATTGTTGAAGACTGTTAGTTGCTTTTTGGTTATGTATTCTGTAACTGTCTTACTGATCAGTCTTGTTAGCCAAAAATAGAAGGGTGCCACGCCCTTGGTGCCCTTCATTTTGACGCTTTTTGCACCTGATGACCAACTTTGGGCCACCTGGAATCTTTTGTGTAGATCTTGCATCATTGATTATTTTGCTGTTTAATGTATATTAATGCATCTTTAATTTTAATATGTTAAGAAAAGATTCTCTATATCTATCATAGTTTCTGCAAAAAATTAACAAATTGGTAAAAATCATCTGTCAAGGGCAATAACTCTGACAAGGGATCAATTGACAACTTTTGGTCATGTTGACTTATTAATAGGTCTTGCTTTGCTGAACATTTTCGCTGTTTCAAATTTCTCTTATCTACAATAGTTGTTAAGATAACCATGATAACAACCGAAAACAGAAATTTCATCAAAATTTATATTTTAGTGGTAATTGGTCTGAATTGGATTGTCCAATTTGTCTAAAAATTTCCTCTCACAAAGATCCTGACTGGCAGACCTCTTTTTTACTCCATGTCAGTATTGCTTTAATTGTTTTGGTTTTTGAAATATAAGGCAAAAACTGCATTTTACCGGAATAAAAAACACAAACTTAATACTGGATACCATAAGGATCATTCACCCAAAGTTTGGTTGAAATTGGTTCTGAAGTTTAAGAGAAGATCTTCTGAAAAAGTTTACGACGACAAGTGACGCTAAGTGATGCCAATATAAACTTATATAGGTGTGTGCAATACACATGAACTTATACAGGTTCCAGTTCTCATCATTTAAAGTCATTACTATTAAATCTGACAGGTTATGCCACTGATCATCTACTCTAATGGAAAAAGCATTTAATCAATGTGTCGTCCAACACTGTTTCTTAAAATGTTTTAAAGAGTGACATCTAGTTGTATAAGATGCTGCTAAAGTAAAAAGATTCATCCAGTTGATATCATCAATACCATGTAAAGGGTTTGTAAACTTGATGAACGTCATTTTTGTCTTGGAGATATTCCAACGTTGCGAAATTTTGTAATCCCAATGAACATAATGTAGCCTCACACTGTAAATTCAGAAATTATTGCGAGGAATTTATAATTGCGAATAATGCAATGATTAGAACTTGCATTCTGAATTTGTTACATCATTACATCATTGTACATATATCTGTGTACAGATTTTTCTGAAATCGCAATAAATTAATCTTGCATTTTTGTCTATTCTACAAAAATCGCAATAATTTTGAATTTACAGTATTCAGTAACTTAAATAATTTTGTGTAACCAATTATTTGTTAAATGATTTTTTGTAATGTTATTACACATGTACAAATGATTGACAGAAGTTATATGGTTCCAAATTGCCTCTTTTACAGACTTCGTCCTCTTTCACAGACATAAAACACCTGCCTCACACTTATACAAAAATTATGGCAATGGCCCCCCAAATTATGCACCCCCTCCCTTTTCTATTTTCTAAAATCGTATTTCGAAGTAGTGTACCTTATCAAGTATTCGAGAAATACAACATTACTGCAACAACCAAGGAATACAAGTGTGATGGGGATTGCAGGATGCATAATTGAATTTTTCTACAATAAAAGGAAAGTTGGAAATGATTGAAAATTTTCAGACGTCGACGCCGGCACCGGAAGAAGATGTGTAACCTCTTCTAACATCGAAAAAGAAAACAATTATTTAACTTTTTCTCTCATTCCTTCAAGATATATTATACATAAATTACAAAAATTTGAAGAAGATGATGCTTTACGATTTTTAGATTGAAACAGAATATTCTAATAAAAAACTTTATAATATGATTATATTTTCATTGATGTAAGGGATTCCAGATTTACATCTTTCAAGACTGTCTGTCACCTAAAAATGTAAAATTTCACGAAGGTAAACATATAGCATATTATCAAGATTCTACTTCATACAATTAATTTTATCTCTGAATGATAAAAAATTCTCTCTGAATAATATCTGATGTCTGAAAACTACATTCCTTTCTACTGTAGTATCAATATTGCCCACACAAAAAGACCTCCTTTGTCTATATAATTTTACTTTATACTGATTTCGTGGGTTTGAAAAAAACATTGTCAAGAACATTCTGCTGACCCTACTCCCCTGATGTTTTATATACTCTTATATCTGGCACCTGTAACATTGTAATATTATTCATCTCAAATTTCTCATTTTAATTTTATATTGATGTTATTAACAGTAACATGTAAGATCATAATGATCATACGCCAGTAGTGGGCAAAGTCATCATACATGACAAACAAGATTCAGACTGTTCTTTAATTTTTTTGTTTAATTTCTACCACATGGTTTTTACATCCTGTCTCCAAATTAATCAGTAATGAGATTATTATGGTTGTGTGATGTTTATTGGTCGTTATGATTACAAATAAGAAGGATCTTATTTTAGCAATACATGGTTTACGCTGGAGAAAGCGTTGTGTAGATTTAGACGTTTGGCGGGAAAGTTAGTGGCCGGGTCGAAGGTTTTAGGGGTGTTTGTGAGGGATTCTCGTGTTCAGTAAGAGGAACATTTAGGGAACACCCCATCCAGGAAATATTGTATTTGCCCTAGAGTATATAAGCAGGTGAGGAATACATTTCGGGTGCTGTCAATGATCTTATATAGAAGAAGACCAGTAAACCAACAGAGTTACGTGGTGTAGATATTGTTGCATACCGAGCAATAATATTGAAAGGGCACTTTGTACTGGGTACAAAGTAAACATACAGGTTGGATTGGCTATTCTAAGTTGACAGAGCAGACTGTCTCACTCGGAAGACAGGCTGTACCAGCCCTCACTGTCTGCTAGTGACAGACCGTCCCATCTGGAGGACAGGCTGTTAGATTGTATAATACTTGTATATATATATTATTGTTCATTGTTACTTTATATTGACAAAGAGTCAGTGTGTATATTTTAGTTCATTGTGCATAACATAGATACAATAGTTAGAGGTTTTTGGTAATACCGTATTGTTTATCGACAGCTTGAATCCAAGTATTTACTGGAACGTTCGTTTAAGATATAAACGCCTTACTCAGTTACTGGTTACACATTACAGTTGTGTTTACACCACAAAATTTTCTGAAAGTACAGACATACCTGTTAACCTGGAAAAGTTTTAATGTATGGTAGGAACTAGATAACAAATTTTAAATGCATTTTATGTTTCAGAAAATTATAAACTTACCTTGGTTTAACATGTTTAAAGATTCTTTTTTTTATTTCCACAGAAGATGCAAAAAAAAAAAACACCTGACTTTTATATGATACAGTTCACTCACTTATACAATTTAGATGAGGCATGAGCTATTGTTGTGCAGATATCTTTTGTCCTTCTATTGTTCATGTCAATCAAAACAACTCACTACTTTTATTAAGGAGGAGCATCCAAACTTGTGTATGTTTCGGCAATTAAGTTTATTAACAGGTTGTAGGTATTCCTATTGGCACCAATTGCGCCCTTTTAATAGCAGAATTGTTCCTGTACTGTTATGAATCACAGTTTATGGCCAAACTCAGTAAAGACCCAAAATTTTCCCAAAGGAACTTACTTTAAATAGATCAAATATAAACAGCAATAACCGTCTTTTCAGAGATTTAGATATTTCAGTTTTACACAGAAGCTCTACACAAAAATTTACGACAAATGGATGATTTTTAGTTCCCTATTGTAAATTTTCCTTTTTTGGACTGAGATGTTCCTAAAGGCACCATCTTACGGTGGTTATAAATACCAACTCGTTCACTATGTCCGTGTCTCTAGTGACATTTTGGATTTCAATTAACGTAATCTATGTATTACTGGTGAATTATTAAATCAAGGATTTAGTTACCACAAATTACTTAAAACCTTTACTAAATTCTTCTATAGATACGAAGATGTGGTTTGGAAGATTGGCTGTACAAATGTACCTGCAGAAAACTTATTCCAAACGGGATAGCACTTCCTAATTTTTAAGGTGATCCTTTAAATAAACTTATCCTAAAAGGTTACCTAATCAACACTGTAATTAGATCTTTAAATTTTGTTTTTATCTGTATAAATAAATGTATTGATTTTTTTATCAGTAGTAAATTAAAACGAAACTATTATACACATAACGGTGACATATGTATATTCACGGTCCTACAATCTTTTGATACCTATATTTTGTCATTGCACAAGGTCATGTTTTTCTCTATCTGTTAATCACATCTTTATACTAAATCCACTGGATGTTGGATGTGTACTGATTGATATTTTGGTCTTAGATCAAGTTCAAATTTGGGTAGCGTCACTTTTACCATATGTCCCTTTACAACTATATGATATGCAAGCGGGGGCCTCATCTGTGTCCACATGTGGACACTATCCACATTTATTTTTGTTAGGTTTTTTTTGTGCTTTGTATCGATCTGGTGATCATGAGTTATGCCCTTTTCAACTGAATTTTGTCCCCCGCGCAAGGCGTTGAGGGGGACATAGAAATATCAGCTGTCCGTCCGTCTGGTCTTGTTAGCGCTCTCACGTGTACAATTCTTGCCTGAATTATATAAAACTTATATCATACATTTATATCAGCAATGTCTCGGACAAGTTCTAAAATCAGTGCTGATGAACTATTTTTAACATTAATTATATGGAAAGATGCATTGTGAGTGCTCTCGTGTGTACAATTCTTGCCAGATTTTTGTGAAATTTATATCATATGTTTATATCAGCAATGTCTCGGACAAGATTGAAAATCAGTGCTGATCCATTACTTTTTAACGAGTTATGCCCCTTGAAAATATTGGTTATATGGAAAATTGCATTGTTAGTGCTCTCATGTGTGCAATTCTTGCCAGATTTTTATGAAATTTATATCATATGTTTATATCATCAATGTCTCGAACAATTTCAGAAATAATTTCTGAAAAGTAATTTTTAATGAGTTATGCCCCTTGGAAATATTATATCGGGAATTGCGTTGCATTTGCTCTCAAGCTTTCATTTCACAAAGATATTTAAAAAAAGTTTTAAAGAACAAAAAATTTTATTTTTAGTTATTGCCCTTGGACCTTGGACAGATAAAATATGTGCAAACACAGGGGACTTTGGAACTCTCTTCTTTTATTATAGTTTAGTCTGATGTTGTTCAGCACATGTTACAACACTATCCCAGATTAGTGAGAGTGTTTGGCTCCAGCAATCATGTTTAACCTGGCCACATTCTGTATGTGCCTGTCCCAAGTCAAGAGCCTGTAATTCAGTGGTTGTTGTTTGTTGCTGTATATCATAATTGTTTTTCATCTATTGTTTTGTCCATTGTCAGGCTGTTAGTTTTCTCGTTTTGAGTGTTTTTACATTTGCAATTTCGGTGTCATTTTTAGCTTACTATGCAGTATGGGTTTTGCTCACTGTTGGTGCTGTATATGATGACCTATAGGTGATAACTTCATTTGGTGTCTGGTGGAGAGTTGTCTCATTGGCAATCATACCACATCTTCTTATGTTTACATTAGTTTATTTTTTGTACCTTCTGTGAGCATGGTGAGAACAAACAAAAAAAGGAATATCAAAATCTGGAAAAGTTAAAAAATTTCTGAAGCATCAAATGCATTTGAAATTTAATTATCTAGTCCCTGCTTTGCTTTAAAAAAAATTCAAGATGCACAGCTTTGTCTGTACTCAGATTAATTTTTGTGGTGTAAACACAGCCATTTTTGTCAATTCCTTCTGATGAACATTATCAGTGACATATACAATTATACAAATGTACATTGTATGTTTGCTATTTCTTATTTGGTCATGGGCCCAAACACATTTGCAAATTTTAGTGGGTCTCTTCAGTATTCATGATATTCTATGGGGAAATTGACATTGGGCCAACTAAAGTTTGAACTCTCTACACCCCCTGAAAGAAACAAGAAATGGTGAAACACTCGGATTTTTGTTTAAAATTACTGGCAGTATCATGATGAGGTAAAAGAACAATATGAGATGTTAACTATACATCAATGAGACAGCAGCCCAACCACAAAAAAAGATATCTAGTGGTAATGTTTAATAAATATATTGATATGGTACATATACATGTCTGATGGACATTATTACACCACTCATCCATCATCATGTAGCAATTAATCCAAATACACGCCCTAACAATATCTGCTAATTATCTGACTTGGTCTGTTGAAAACTTAATCTTGTCTAAGTCCTGTGGTAATGAGTTCCAGTCCTTTTTAGAATTCTGGATGAAGCTGAATAGGTAGCAAATATATAAATGTAGCTTAATCCCTTTACTTACAAAATTCTCAATGTTTCATTGGCTGAGTGCTGCTGTAAATGAATATTTTATATTTGGCCATATTATATGCTACATTTTTGTGTACCTACATCAACTAATGGTACAATTTATATCAGCAATACTGTACATTTATACATTCAGGTCATACACTATAACTTTTGGTGTCTTATTATTGTAATGTATCATTATACTAGTGCTAAAGGGTGCCAAAGCTTGTCATTTTTATGAACATCCAAATTATGTCCATTTAAAAAAAATGCCCAAACATGTCCATATGAAGCCAAAATGTCTCCCTTTTATGAACCCTCAATCGTGTCCATATTTAAAAAAAAAAAAACATATATA